GGACAGGAGGACTGAAGGGTGGGGACAGACATAAGACTTCCTGCATTTGAACTGGGCCTCAGAATAGATGCCATGTCACCTGGGAGGTGCAGATGAAAATCTGATGCATCATCTTTATTGAGATGTCACTTTATTTTATCCCATGACATTCACTCATCTCGTCGTTCAATGGCTACAGAGAATCAGTTTTTGCAAGATAAAAAACTGCCGGAGCCTGGTTGCACAGCAATGTGAATGAATTTAACATTACTGAATCATACACTTAGAAATGGTTCCTGCTGTAGCCCGTTGTTCAGTGGTTAGAGCATCAGCCCTAGGACTGAAGGATTGCGGGTTCGATGCGGGTCAAGGGCATATAGCTCCTATTCGGGTCAAGGGCATGTACCTTGTTGCAAGTTCGCCCCATAGCCCTGGTAGGATGGATGCATTGGGGAGGCAAGCAAAGGTGTGTCCCTCTCTTTGTCTTTCCCTCTTTCTTCCACTTTCTCTAGAAATCCATGGGGAAATGTCCTCAGGTAAGGATTAACAGGCAAGATAAGAAATGGTTAAGGTGGTAAAGTTTGTGTATTTTAAACAAGATGCAAAATCAGCTGAAACCGGTTTGGCTCAGTGGATAGAACATCAGCCTGCAGACTCAAGGGTCCCAGGTTCGATTCCAGTCAAGGGCATGTACCTTGGTTGCGGGCACATCCCCAGTAGGGGGTGTGCAAGAGGCAGCTGATCGATGATTCTCTCTCATCAATGTTTCTAACTCTCTATCCCTCTCTCTTCCTCTCTGTAAAAAAATCAATAAAATATATTATTTTTTTAAAAAGATGCAAAATCAAGGCCTTCCACCAGGGACAAAGGCAAAAGTCACAGCCCCCAGCTATCTTCTCTGATTCCTCCCACACCCATCCCGACCTCCTCGCCGGACTTCTGCTGAGTGCACCTGCCCTGGGGGAGGGAGGGCCTCCGTTCTGGAGCCCGGAGGCCAAAAACTCATCTTAGGTCTGATGAGTCCCACCTGTCTAGTGAGTGGGGGTCTCCGAGGAGCCCCACAGAGCCTAGCCCTCTCCCTTTTCTTCTCTGGGCGGGAACGACGGCCCATCTTTCTTCAGGTCCCTTGAGTTCTTGGGGTTCACTTGTCCAATGAAAGCTCCCTAAGGCCGGGCTTGGAACGGCACCCCAACACCCTTCCCTAAGAATGTCACACCCTTTACCTTGGGGGTGTTCTTCATTCGCACCTTCAGCTCCTACTCCGGGCCTGGGCCAAGCTGTGGGACCGTTAAGTCTTGGAGTTGGATTTGTAGAGAGCTCACGGGGCTGTGTCTGGGGGGACAGGCAGCAGGAAGGACCTTTGTACCCCTCTGAGTCCTGTCTGCTCTGCTGTGATGCAGACACGGCATGTCCTGGCCATAGAGCAGTGGTTCCCAACCTTTCCTGGCCACGCCCCACCTACACATCTCTGAAATCCTGACCCCCCCCACTGACATATAATTCCTATTATTCCAAAGGTGAACTCTATTCGTGTGGAGGAGGCCTAAAAGGCCATTAACTAGGTCTAAACAAGCTTCCAAAGAACATGGCATCCGTGAAAGAGAAAAATAAAAGAGCAAAAAGAAAGTTCAAGTTCTAAGGAAGAAATCACTAAGAAATTGAAAAAAAAATATATATATACATATATATATATATATATATATATATATATATATATAGTGATATGAAAAATAGCAAAGTTTCAAAACATAGGGAACTGAAATGCACAAATGTCACAATATATTTATAGACTGTAAATGAGGCCCCTAGAACCATAAGAAATGGGTGGGAAATCACTGTTAATAACACATTCTTGAATTGCCCCCCTTAAAAATCAGATTGCTCTCCTGTGGAGCGTGTGCCCCACCTTGGGAACCACTGCCACAGAGGGAATCAGATGAGGAATAGATTCCCAGCTGCAGGCACCGTTCTGAGGGACAGCTGTGGCTCCCAGGCAAGTTACCACGAGAGACAGATGTGAGCGCAGCTTCACTGGAGAGCCCACCTGGAGGCGCTGCCGCCCCAGACCGGGGCCTAGCTCTTGGCCTGGCCCCGTGTCCTCCACCTTCGCACAGGGCGCACCTCTCCCCACACAGGGGAATGGCCGTCCCTCTCAGCCTGGACACAGGACAGCGTTCGCTCATCTCCAGAATATGCCTCGCAGTCCCACTGCCTCTGGGAGAAGGGCGGCTGGCCCCTTCCCTTCTCCACAGGCACTGAGGCACAACCTGCTTTCCTCGCCGGTAAAACGGGGACATTAATAGCATCTCTAGTGACAAGCCCAGAGTCCAGGACATCACGCAGGCTTAATTCATAATGTCTGATTTTAAAAAATATATTTTTATTGATTTCAGACAGGAAGGGTGAGGGGGAGAGAGAATCACCAGTCGGCTGTGTTACGAAGCGAGTCCCCAAGAGATGGACCACCGGAGCCAATTTGATTAAGCATGCTAGAATTTATTACAGATTCGAATCTGGACTCAAACCATGGCTGACGCAGCAGCCGGTAAACACCCAGGGGAGAGCCCTGATGGAGGGCCAGTCCCTCCAGAGCGCTCACACAAAAACACAGACAAACACACACCTACCGCGGCCAGTCAGGCTCTCCGGACCGGGGTCCCTCATGGTCCTGGCTGGGGATTCCAGATGAATTCATGATCCCCAAGGACCACCAGGGAGCCGAGTCCGATGCAATAAACAAAAGAGCCATCTCCATGCTAGCATGGGCTGCCCCACTCATGCCGGCAGCATGGCGGAAGAGAGTGAATTTCGCCCAGTCCAGGGGTTTTACTCAGGTCGGTGATGTCACTGCCTCGGCTAACCCTGATTGGCCCCTCAGGACTAAATTCTAAAGACTGGGGACAGCCCGCAGGGTGGGTTCCCAGTCACACCCTGCTTGACATTGGAATGTGGCCCTATCTTGCCCATAATACAAAAGCAGAACTAAAGGTTATCTACTGAGTCAGTGGGAGTCAATCTCCTGCAACTACCCTATTGTTCAAGCAAGTAATCCAAGGTCGAAGTCAGATAGCAAGGTTAAAATTCAAACAGCAGTTTTTACCCAAGTATGAGTGCTACCATATTTCAGGCTGCCTCCTGCACACCCCCTATTGGGGATTGAGCCTGAAACCCCAGCATATGCCCTTGCCCGGGATCAAAACGGGGACCCTTCAGTCCATAGGCCAACGCTCTATCCACTGAGCAAAATCAGCTAAGGCATTTTTTTTATTATTTTTTTAGGGTATTTTTATTATGTATTTATTTATTTTTGTGAGCAATTGTTTTTCTTTTCTTTTTTTAAATTAAATTATTATCTGTGTACATATTTTAACATTGCCCCCCCTCCCTCTTTTTATTATTATCAATTTAATAACCATTAGATGAACACAGCAGTGCCCGTGGGCTGTCCTGAGGGACAGGCAGGTCTATTGAATCATTCTATACCGTTTTCCAAGTGGCCCTCCCGGTAGCCTGCCTCCTTCGTGGGCCTCCCAGTGTCTTCCAAAATTCTCCTGGAGGCTGTTCCTCAATCCCTTGCCAGAGTCCTCCCTCCTACTAACCCAACCCCAGGTTCCTGGGGATAAAACCGGCTCCCAAATTCAGGGAGGAGCAGTGATTTGCCTGAGGCTACATAGCACTGGGCCTGGCACCCAGGTCTCTGCACTTTGGCCAGGCAGTTGCCCTGGCTTCGGGCTGGCTTTTGCCGTTAGATTGCAGCTACGTACACCTCCCTAGCGAGGCTAGAGTAGCTTTACAATGACCTCTGGGTATTTCTGAGTTGCTTGATCCACCCTATAGAGCAGGCATCTGCAAACTTTTCTGTTAAAGACCAAAAAATAAATACTTCAGGCTTTCAGCCTCTGTCTCAGGTGCTCAACTCTGCTGCTATAGCAGGAAAGCAGCCTTAAGACAGTCCTCAGCCAAATGAGCAGGGCTGTGTTCCACTAACACTGTTTTTTAAAAGAAACATTTCTAATGTATTTATTGACTTGAGAGACAGACAGAAACATCCATTTGTTGCTCCACTTTTTTATGCATTTATTGATTGCTTCTTCTATGTACTCTGACAGGAAATCAAACCTGGAATCTTGGCTTATCAGAACGATGCTTTAACCAACTGAGATACCTAACCGGGACCCACTAAAACTATTTATGAGCACTGGCATAGTTTTACATAGTTTCCAACTATTTAAATATGGAAAAACCATTCTTTGTTCACCAGCTGTGCAAAAACAATAGACCCCTAAGCAAGGGATTTAAAATCCATTCTTTATTTAATTTTAGGCTCAAAAATATGAAAAAAACAAAACTACTATTATTCCAGAGAGAGAATGGAGTTCTGACCACCTGGAGCAAGGAGGGAGGGTCAGTAAATCTGCCAGGCTTTTGTGGGAGGAGTGGAAAAGACCTTGGAGATACACTCACAGCAACCTTTATTTTCTTATCTGTAAAATGGTGACAATACTCTTTTTTTTGTTTTCTTTTTTCTTTTAAATACTCTATTTTAGAAGGTTGTTATTAGGGTTGAAAAGGATAAAGAATGGTAAAGCGTTTTGTAAATGCAAATGTTGATTTACTTGTTTCTAACCTGCTGGGGGTCTCATACTGACTTTCTTTCCCTGAGAATCTTTCCACGAAGTTTTATGAGACACTGTCCCTTTAAGTCGTACCCAACAACTTCAAGTAATTGGACGAGTCAGCACATGCGCATTCCTCTGCTGGGATGGCACCTCCAAATCTTCCGCCGGAGCCTGTAGAAGGAAGGTTAAAGGTCCTCCCACTCAGAATTCACACGCAGGCGTAAATCAAGACTGGGAGCATTATATCACGCGGAGAGCCCAGTCCTTTTTTGGCGCCTGGAGGCTCCGCCCCCCTCGGCCAATCAATAGGCTTCGCCCTCTGCGATGGCCAATCGCAGTGAGCGTGGGGGGCGTGGCAGAGCGCCCGGGGCGCGGCCTGGCGCGGAGTGAAGCGGCGGGGCAAACCCGAGCCTTAGTGAACCCAGCAGCCGCGGCGGGCGCGGGCGCGGGCGCGGCGGCCGGGGCTCGGCGGTCTCCGAGATGTCACGATGGCTGTGGCCATGGTCGAACTGCGTGAAGGAGCGGGTCTGCCGCTACTTGCTGCACCACTACTTGGGCCACTTCTTCCAGGAGCACCTCAGCCTGGACCAGCTCAGCCTCGACTTGTACAAGGGCAGCGTCGCCCTGCGGGACATCCACCTGGAGATCTGGGTGAGGAGCCAGGCCCGAGCCCGGAGGGCGGTGGGGGGCACCGGGCAGCGGCGACACGAGGCTCCTGGCGAAGGGGTCAGGCCGAGGGACCAGGTGCCGGGCGTGTTGAGGTCGTGGAAGTCCGGCCCTTTTCAAGCGTCAGCGGGACCCGGCTGATCGCCTCCAGAGCGGGAAGGGGTTCCATGCGGCCACTTCTCGGGAGGAGAGACTGAGGCTGGGGGGAGGGTTGTCACTTGGCGGAAAGACGCCAGAATAAGCAGGTTTGGGTTTGGGGCCTGATTGGAGGGGTATGGTGCCGAGGGGCTAAGGAGAGGGTGAGGTGGGAGCAGAGCGAGGACCTGGGGGTACGGGTAGGACCAGGCCAGGGGAGGGGGAGGGGGAGGGGTGCGGAGCCCGCCGAGGACACCCGTGGGGAAGGTACCCTGACCTCCTGACCCTACAATCCTGGGCCCAGTGGGCTGGGTTCGCCTCCGGATGTGGATGTCAACAACCGCGTCAGCGCCCGTGTTGATCAACACCTCGTGTGACTGCCGCCGCGCTGCCTACTTCCTGCTTCGGGGAGAGCGGAGGGATTAAGTTTGGGGAGGGGATTATAGATTGGCATCCCTACCCGGAGGGAAGCCCCCGGCGGAGGGCGGAGAGGCCTGGCCCCAGGCAGGAAGGAGGCAGGGAAGATGCTGGGAGCTAGAGAGAAGTAAGGTCTGGGTCTGACCTGGGTCTGGGGGCGGTGACTCACAGCTCAGCTGACCTGGAAAGTTGCAGAGGAGCCACCAATCAGAGGCACCAGCCCAGGGCTGGCACTGGGGGGCGAAGGCTTCTCAGTTTTCTGGCTGAGCCCAGCAATCTGGGCAGGAAGAGCTGGGCTTTAGGGTGGGCAAGTCTCCCTGCGTGTGGAGTGAGGTCCCCTGAGCCTGGAGCTGGGGGAGCCTCCCAGCAGCCTGTGAGTCCCAGGGCGGAAGCCTTTCAGATCTCTAAGCTGCCTCTTCCCACCCCCAGCCCTGTTGGGATTGGATTAGTTCGCCCTGGTGGGATGCAGGAGTTTGCTCCATAGCCGCCCCTCCTCCCAGCTGCTCTGCCTGCAGCCCCTCCTGGAAGGCCCTAGGAGAAGCCGGGTGCCTGGGGACGCTGAGGTGGGATGAGGACAAAGGTCAGGGCCCCGGGGACACTGTTCCCCCATCTGTACCGGTGGGGAGGGGGTTCACACCATGTGTTTGGAGTTGGGATGCATCCCCTCAGCTCAGGGCCAGCCCATGCTTGTGTCTGCTTGAGCAGAGGTGGTGGGAGGCCACTGCCCCTCCTGCCAGGCCTTTCCTAGTAAATTTGTTGCTCCCGAGCCTGGAACAGGCCATCTCCCAGCCCCTCCTCCTGGCTTTCTCCTCTTCATCCTTCAGCTCCCCCTCCTCCGGCTTAAAATAGCGATGCAGTGATTGGGCCAAAAGTAGGGATCAGCCTGAGCAAAGGTAGGCCTTGTGGGTAGCACGTGGAGGATCTGGGAGACCGAGGCTGCTCTCCAAGGTGGAGCAGACAGACGAGGGCGACGGCGGGTTGGGGGTTTTCCTGAGCCGGCTTCGTGCCTGTCTCCGCAGTCTGTGAACGAGGTGCTGGAGTCCATGGAATGGCCGCTGGAGCTGGTGGAAGGCTTTGTGGGCTCCATCGAGGTGGCGGTGCCCTGGGCCGCGCTGCTCACAGACCACTGCACCATTCTCGTGTCGGGCCTCCAGCTCACCCTGCAGCCCCGCCACGGCCCAGGTGAGGGCGGGGAAGGCTGGGCGGGAGTGGGAACGCAGTGGTGGGAGTGGGCCTGGGCTCTGGCGCTGACCGGCCTCCTCGCAGGACCAGGGCCTGCTGACTCGCAGAGCTGGGCCTCATGTATGACCACGAGCCTGCAGCTGGCTCAGGAGTGCCTGCGGGATGGGCTGCCCGAGCCCTCGGAGCCGCCACAACCCCTGGAGGGCTTGGAGATGTTCGCCCAGACCATCGAGACTGGTGAGCGGCCCCCCAGGCCACCGCGCCGCCCCAGGGAGCACTGCGCCGGCCCTCCGGCTCCGCCTGACTGAGACCCCTCCTCCCCCTCAGTGCTGCGGAGGATCAAGGTGACCTTCCTGGACACTGTCGTGAGGGTGGAGCACGCCCCGGGCGACGGGGAGCACGGAGTGGCCGTGGAAGTCCACGTGCAGAGGTAGGGGTAGGCCTGGCGGTGTGCGGGCATGAGGGAGGGGGAGCGCGAGGGGCTGTCAAGTGGGCCTGGGCAGTGCCACAGCAAGGGGGAGGCGGGCTGGAGTGGAGTGGAGGAGCCAGGAGGTGACGGTGCAGAGTGCCGGGGTGAGGGGGTGCCAGGGAGCAGGTTACATGCTGAGGTTTGGGGAGCAGGTGCAGGGTGGCGTAGCTGTGGTGAGGGCTCCCTGCCCCCAGGCCCTTAGAACAGAACACTGTGCAGGCCGAGGGGCTCCACACCGATGGGGGGGGGGGCAGGGCAAAGGCTGAGCCTGCGCTCCCCAGACTAGAATACTGTGACGAGGCGGTGCGAGACCCAAGCCAGGCACCCCCCGTGGACGTTCACGAGCCCCCCGCGTTCCTGCACAAGCTGCTGCAGCTGGCGGGCGTCTGCCTGCGCTTCGAGGAGCTGCCCCGCCAGGTGGGCCGACCGATCCCACAGTCTGTCTCCTCCCGATCCCGCCCCCTGTGCCCTGACCCCTCTGCCCCTCCATCCCTTCCGACCCCTCCCCTCTCACATCCTCTCGCCTCCCAGGAAGAATCCCCAGACCCCCCCTTGCAGATCGGCAGCTGCTCGGGGTACGTGGAGCTGACGGTGAAACTGAAGCAGAACGAGGCTTTCCCAGGCCCCAAGGTGAGTGTTGGGGCCCCTGGGGAGGGGGGAGCGTGCTCCCTCCCGGAGTGCTCAGAAATTTTTATCCTCCCTGTGACACGGGTGTGTGAGTGGGGGAAGTTACTGCCTTCTTGGCACCTGGAGAAACTGAGGCTCAGAGAGGTCAGGTTGTGGCCAGCGTCACACAGCTGGTTGGTGAGAGACTCAGCTGGCAGCTGGCTTCCTACCGCCTCCGGAGAGAGCAGCTGGCAGTGGTTGGCAGGGCTGTGGTCGGCAGGCGTGAGCGCCATGGCTGCTCCTGTGCCCGCAGCTGGAGGTGGCCGGGCAGGTGGGCTTCCTGCACCTGCTGCTGACCCCGCGGCAGCTCCAGCAGCTCCAGGAACTGCTCAGCGCCATGAGCCTTGCAGGTGAGGCCTCTGGGCAGCTCTGGGGACGGCACGGCTGGTGAAGTGCCAGCCAGGCTGGACTGACACAGGAAGCGTCCTCCCCTCTAGACTCCAAGTCCCTGGCGGACAAGCTGGGCAAGAGCCGCCCGCTGGGAGCCGAGGATCTGTGGCTCATCGAGCAGGACCTGAACCAGCAGCTGCAGACGGGGGCGGGGCCCGAGCCCCTCAGCCCGGACCCCCTGGCCGACCCCCTCGTCAACCTGGACGGCACCGGTGGGTGTGGGGCCGGACGGGCGTGGGCGCAGGAGTCTGCGCTGAGCCCACGCGCCCTGACCCCCTCGCCTGCCCACAGACCTCTTCTTCTCCATGGCGGGCCTCACGAGCAGCGTGGCCTCGGCCGTCTCTGAGCTCTCCCTCTCCGACGTGGACCTGGGCTCCTCGGTGCAGAGTTACACCACCCCCCGCCGGCTCTCTGCCGCGGGCCCCCCAGCGGGTGAGCGCCCGGGACGGGAGGTGCCGGCGTGGCCGCCCCGCGCCAGGAGGCCTCTGGTGGCGCAGTGGACAGCGCCTGGGTGGGCACGTCGGCTCTCCCAGACTCTGTTTCCCCTCCCGTCCCATGGGCAATGAGAGCTGCCCTTGCTGGACTGTGTGTTTTGGCCGATGTTTATTGAGAGCCTGAGTGTGTCAGGCTCCTCCAGTCCTCCCAGTTCCCTGGAGAGGGTTGAATTGAGCCTGGCCAAGCGTCCTCCCGGAGCCACAGTCCGGCTGGGCCCCTGAGCTCTGGGCCCCTGCTGAGGCCTCTGTCCCCCCAGGCAAGACGGCCCGCACGCCCCATCCGGACACCATGCGCCCTGACTCACTACTGAAGATGACCTTGGGGGGCCTGACCCTGACCTTGCTTGAGACACCCGCCCTGTCTTCCGGACCACCTGACCTCACCGCCCCTTTCTTTGCCGAGTTCGATGCTGCCAAGGATGGGCCTTTCAGCTCCCGCGACTTCCACCATCTGCGACCGCGCTTCCAGAGGGCCTGTCCCTGTAGCCATGTCCGGTACAAGCCCAAGGCAGGGGCCTGAGGAGAGACTCCCCAAGCCCGCAGAGCCCCCTCTGGTGCCCCCTCTGATGCCCAGCCTCTTCCCGCAGGCTGACGGGGACGGCGGTGCAGCTGTCCTGGGAGCTGCAGACGGGCCGGGGCCGCCGGACGGCCAGCACGGACGTGCGCTTCGGGCAGCTGGAGGTGCTGGAGTGCCTGTGGCCCAGGGGCGCCGCGGAGCCCGAGCACATGGAGCTGCTGAGCTTCCCCGGCAGGCAGGACGCCCAGGCCTCGGCGCAGCCCTGTGCCCACCTGCGCCACACACAGACGGTGCGCCGTCTGCCCAAGGTAACCCCCTCCCTCCAGGCCTAAAGGCCCTGACTGTTTCACCCCCAGCCCCAGCCTCCCTGTACCTCCCTGTTCCCTCCCTCTGCCCCCTTCCTGTGCTCCGTCTGAGGAGAGCACGCCTCCCCATCCGGGGCCCTGGACTCCACCTGGGCCTGTACGTGCTGTTCTCTCACCCCGGTGCCCCTCCCCTGGCTCATCCCGAGATGCCCTGCTGGCCTCTGGCAGCGGCGGATGCTGGTGGCTTTTGTTGAGCAAGCACCATCATCCGCCTCAGGCAGGTGGTGAGGTGTCTGGGTCCCCAGCCCCAGCTCTTCTCACCGGCTGGGAGAACTCTGTTCTGTTTTTGCTCATGGGGGCCCCTTCCCATCCTGCCCTCACCCACCCCACGGCCCTTGCTGACCTGAATACCCTCAACTTCAGAGCCGATCCCGGCACAGAGCTGTCTGCCATTGCCACTCAGAGCTGGCCCTGGCCCTGGCCGACTTCCAGGCAGACCTGGAGCTGGGGACCCTGGACCGGCTCGCTGCTCTGCTGAACCTGGCCACCAGACCCTCTCCCGAGCCGCCTGCCGGCCTGCTGGTGAGCTGCCCAGCTGGGGCGGGGCGCGGGCACAGTCCTCCTGCTCGCGATGGCAGTGCTGGGCCCGCGGCGGCAGCATGACCCACCCCCACCCCCACCCCCGCTCACAGACGGAGTCCCCGCCAGCCACCGAGCAGGAGACGGTGGTGCAGCTGTCGGCACCCCGGGCCACACTTCGGCTGCACTTCCCCATCGCCGACCTGCGGCCGGAGCGGGACCCCTGGGCGGGCCAGGCCGTTCGGGCTGAGCAGCTGCGGCTGGAGCTGACTGAGCCCCAGTTCCGGTCGGAGCTGAGCAGTGGGCCTGGCCCCCCAGGCCCCACCCGCCTGGAACTTACCTGCTCCGACCTCCACGGTGAGAGCCCCTGGGAACCGGCGTGGGGGGCAGGGCTCGGGCCCTGGGAGAGAGGCTTCGGGCTAAAGAGGCGGGCCATGGGAGCAGGCCTGGGAATGGGGAGCGGCAGCCTGACCCCCCCCCCATCCCCCTTTCCCCTCAGGCACCTATGAAGATGGAGAGAAGCCTCCTGTCCCCTGTCTGCGAGTCTCCAAGGCCCTAGACCCCAAGGGCCCTGGTCACAAGTACTTCCTGCCCCAGTAAGTGGGGCTCTGCCACGGGGGTGGCGGGAGGCCGGGAGCGGAATCGGGGCCGGTGCCCTGCAGACGGTGACAGGCCCGTGCCCCGGCAGGGTAGTGCTGACCCTGCGCCCCCAGGTCAGCAGCGCACAGTGGGAAGTGGCCCCCGAGAAGGAAGAGGAGCTGGAGCTGTCTGCGGAGAGTCCGTGTGAACTGCAGGAGCCGGAGCCCTCGCCCTTCTCCTCCCGGAGGACCATGTACGAGGCGGAGGAGGTGAGCCCGGGCCCCGGGCTGTGGGGGCCGCGGCGGCTTTGGGGCCCCGGGTGACCAGCCCAGCCCCGGCGAGAATTTCCTCTCTTCACCATCTCATGCTGATGGGGAGCCGGAAGCATGCCCGCTCGGGGGGCCTGGAAGTGGGGGCAGAGTCTGGGGAGATCAGGACCCCATTCTTTATCGGCCTTGGGGCCCTCTCCTCAGAAGGTGATGAGGGTTAAGTCTGGGTTTGAATCCAGGCTCTGCTGCTCAGTGGCCTGTCATCTCAGCTTATGGCCTAACCCCTCGGAGGACCTGGGTGCTGGGCAGGACCAGGTTCCCATCCGGGAAGTGGGCACAGTGGCCCCGCAGGAATGAGCATACATGAGGCCTCAGAGCAGGATTGCATGAGGCCACACGTCACACAAAACGGCTGCCCTCCTAGCAGAGGGGCTCACGTGAGTCAGTGAGAAGGAAGGGATGACCCTGGCCAGTGGCTCAGTTGGTTGGAGCGTCGTCCTGTACACGAAAGGTTGCAGGTTCGATTCCCAGTGGGGGCACCTAGGGGAGGCAGCCGATGGATGTTAGTCTCTCCCTTTCTCCTCCCTCATCCTCTCTTTAAAATCAATAAACACATGCTCTGCTGAGGATTAGACTTAAACATGTTTGAAGAGAAAGAATGGATGATAGGCGGTTAGGCTGCGTCTCTCAGGCCTTCCCTCCCCCCCCCAGATGGTGATTCCTGGAGACCCCGAAGAGATGAGGGCCTTCCAGAGCCGGGCGCTGGCGCTGTCACGCTGCAGCCTGGAGGTGGTCCTGCCCAGTGCCCATGTCTTCCTGCCCAGCAAGGAGGTCTATGAGAGCGTCTACAACAGGTGGCGATGCGGCCGGGGTGCGGGGGGAGGAGGAAGGGGTGCGGGGGGGGGGGTGCCAGGGAGCCCGGCTGGGCCGCCCTCACTGCCACCATCCATCTGCCCATCTCAGGATCAACAACGACCTGCTCATGTGGGAGCCCGCAGACCTGTTTCCCAGCCCCGCCGCCCAGCCTCCCGGCTTCCCAGGCCCTGCGGGCTGCTGGCAGGACAACTTCAAGATGTGCAAGTCGGCCTTCAAGCTGGGTAGGAGGGGCACCAGTGGGGTCCTGGCCCAGAGCTGAGCAGAGCTGGGGCGGCCCCTCCAGGGCTCCCTCCCACTCCCTCCCACTCGCTCCTTGGTCTCACCCCAGACTCAGACTCGGACGAAGAGGACGCCCACTTCTTCTCAGTGGGGGCATCAGGCGCGCCCCAGGCCGGCCCCAGGCCCCCGAGCCCACGCTCCCAGAGTTCCTTCTCCACCCTGGTGACGGTGCTGAAGGGCCGGGTCACAGCCCTCTGTGAGGCCAAGGTGAGGGCCGCCGGGGCAGGGAGACCGGACCGAAGGGAGCAGCGCCCAGCTGGGGATGTGGGAAACAGGCCCCAGTGCACCCCCAGACATCCCCCCCCCATCACCCTGTCAGCCCCTTACTGGCGCCTCCTGAGCGTAAGGCCTCACGTAAGGGTCCCAATGGAGGCAGGCCGGTCAGGGCGATTCTTCCCCTGAGACCAGTGCTGCCCGGCCTCCAGGGAGTCTGGGTAGATGCTGAGCTGGTCCCTTAGGCCAGGGCCCCAGGGGTGGGCGCCTCTGCAGCTGCGGGGGCCAGGCCGCACGCTCTGCCCGCAGGATGAGGGCGGGAGGCGGCTGGAGGCCGTGCACGGGGAGCTGGTGCTGGACGTGGAGCAGGGCACCCTCTTCAGCGCGTCCCAGTACCGTGGCCAGCCGGGGCTCGGCTACTTCAGCCTGGAGGCCGACAAGGCGGCGCTCTACCACCGAGGTGTGCGGCTGGGCCCGCGGGCGGGGCGGGCTCTCAGGAGGATGTGGTCCCTGGGTGGCGGGGGCGATCGGCTGGCCCGGCAGGAGCTCACCAGATGCCTCCCCAGCCACCGTGGATGACTACCTGCTGCCCATCCGCCTGGAGCTGCCCAGCTTTGCTCCTCCAGCCCAGCTGGTCCCAACCATCTACCCGTCAGAGGAAGGGGTGACCAAGTGGGGAGCCTCCGGCCGAAAGGGCCAGGCCCAGGGCCCTCACATGCTGTCCGCCGCCGTGCGCATCCACCTGGACCCCCAGAAGAACGTCAAGGTACAGCCACGCCTGCTTCTGCCTCCCCGCTGGCCAGAGCCACTGCCTGCCTGTGCCCGGAGGGCTGGCTCCCTGCTGACTGTGTCCTCCCCCCAGGAGTTCCTGGTGACACTGCGGCTGTACAGGGCTACCCTGCGCCACTACGTCACCCTGCCGGAGCAGAGCTGGCACTCCCAGGTGAGAAAGGCGGCATGGGCAGACAGGTCTCCGGGCCGGGAGGGGCGGCGCCATGGGCATGGGCTGGGTGGGGGGTTAGAGGAGGGAGGAGGCCACCCCGTCCTCACCACCTCGCCCACCTTGGTCCCCAAGCTCTTGGAGTTCTTAGATGTGCTGGATGACCCCGTGCTGGGCTACCTGCCCCCGACGGTCATCACCGTCCTCCACACGCACCTCTTCTCCTGCGCCGTGGACTACAGGTACCCAGGCCGGGCCGCGGGGTGCCGGGGCGGGAAGGGGGGGGGCGCGGGGCGCGCGGGGCAGGCTCGCGCGCGCGTGTAAGGAGCCTGCCCCCGCTTCACTGTCTCCCCCAGGCCCCTCTACCTCCCTGTGCGTGTCCTGGTCACCGCTGAGACCTTCACCCTCTCCAGCAACATCATCATGGACACCTCCACTTTCCTGCTCAGGTGCACAGCCCCCCCCGCCGAGCAGCAGCCAGCCAGTCAATGTGTTTCCCTCACAGGGATTTTTCTCTGTCTTTCCCTCTCTCTTCCACTCTCTAGAAATTAATGAAAAAAGTGTCTGCTTCTCTGTGTGGCTTCACAGAAAGGACTGGAAGGAGATGTGTGTCAGAGTTTGTGGTTGGGAATTACGATGAGAAATTAGGGATTGTGTCTTTTTTTATTGCCGTATTATAACATATTTTAAAGGAGCTATGTTATGCTGCCATTAAAATAAGGACCTTATACATTTTAAAAAACTAGATTATGTTAGAGGAATGGAGACACGAGAGATGCTCTTGGTCTCTCCCCTTAAAAGATAAAATAAGATCAGGGCTGTGTTAGAAGAACAGTGACTGTCTGTGGGGAAAACGGGACCCGTTGGTCCTGGGTTGCTGGGAGGCCCGGCTGAGGTGGAGGATGTGGGGGAGCAGGCCACTCCCCCCAGGCCGGGCCCAGCGCCGGCGTCTTGTGGGCCTGGGACCTGCTGCGGGTGTCCCTCTGCTGCTGGGCCCCGTCTCAGCCCCGTCCCCACCAGGTTCATCCTCGACGACTCGGCCTTGTACCTGTCTGACAAGTGTGAGGCAGAGACCCTGGACCTGCGGCGAGGTGGGCAGCCTGGGCCCCGGGCACGCAGGGCAGCCAGTGTCCTCCCTGCCTGATGGCCGCTCAGCGCCCACACAAGCCCCGGGTCTCCCCCTGGTGGCGGGTCGGGCTGCGTGGAGGAGCCGGCAGGAATGTGTCCTCCTCTGTTCAGATTACGTCTGCGTCTTGGATGTGGACCTCCTGGAGCTCGTGATCAAAACCTGGAAGGGGAGCACCGAGGGCAGACTGGTGAGTGCGGCCCTCCCCGGAGGCTGGGGCCAGCGCAGGCGGGGGCCGGGCGGCCCTCGGGGTCACCCTTTGGTCATGGTCACTGCTGGCCCTTCCCAAGCTGGGCTGGGGGATTGGCTCTCCTGGGAAGGCCGGGCCCATCCTGGGTGTCCTTCCGTGTGAGTCCCGCCACTAGAGGGCAGTGCAGGCAGGCCGCGGGAGTCTGCAGAATGGAGGCGGGGGCCTTGCCTGCCTGCCTGCCTGGCAGGGGCCCATGTAGCCTTTCACTTGGGAGATTGCACTCGCAGAGCCACGCCCGTCCGCTCTCTGGACTCAGGGTGCTCATCCATTCAGTGGGTGCGGCAGGCTGAGTGCCCCAGGAGGCCCGGCCGTCCTGTCTGCGCGGGGAGGACGGGCGGGCTGACGGCACCGCCTCCTCCCGCAGAGCCAGCCGCTGTTCGAGCTGCGCTGCTCCAACAACGTGGTGCACGTGCACACCTGCGCCGACTCCTGCGCGCTGCTGGTCAACCTGCTGCAGTACGTAACGCGCACAGGCGACCTGCACCCCCCGCCCCGGCCCCCCAGCCCCACCGAGATCGCCGGCCAGAAGGTACAGGTGAGGCCTGGCCCCTCCCCCGCGTGGCCCCCCAGGACTGGCATTGGGGAGCCCCGTGCTCTCCCTCCTGGCACTCATTCCCCACCCCTCCCCTGCCCGGCCCAGCTGTCCGAGAGCCCCGCCTCCCTGCCCTCGTGCCCCCCGGTGGAGACGGCCCTCATCAACCAGCGGGACCTGACCGACGCCCTCCTGGACACCGAGCGCAGCCTGCGGGAGCTGGCCCAGTCCGCAGGTGGGTGGGGGCGTTGGGGGCGCCGGACACCACCAGCACCATGTCAGGCTCCCCCAAACCATCCTCTCTCCTACAGGTGGCACCCTCCCTCAGGCCTCGCCCGTGTCCGTCTACCTGTTCCCAGGTGAACGGAGTGGGGCCCAACCTCCGCTGCCCCCTCTGGGGGTCGTTGCCGGAAGGTCAGAGGCCGAGGACAGTGAAAAGGAGGGCGATGGAGACACTCTGGACAGTGACGAGTTCTGCATCCTTGATGCTCCCGGCCTGGGCATCCCGGTACGCGGCAGGCACGCTGGCAGGGCAGGATGAGGGAGAGGGAGGCTGGAGGGAACAGAGGCAAAGGGAGGTGGGAGGTGAGGCTGGGAGGGTCTCCGTGGGAAGGCAGCCCTGAGCCCGGGCTCTGCAGGAGCTGGGGGATTCCAGAGGAAGAGAGGCTTGCGTCCGGGGCGGGGGGCTGGGCCATCAGAGTCGGGAGAAGGCAGATGGGCAGCGGGAGGGCGAGGGGGACCCAGGCCCAGGGAGACGAGGCTGGCAGGAGCAGGGACCTCGGCTCCATCCTCGCCGGGTGTTCGGAGACAGGCTGGGACAGTGGCCCCGGAGGGTCAGCTTTTGTCAGCAACGGGAGAGAGACGTGGAGGCGGGAGGAGCGGGTGGCGGTGCCTGGACAGGGGAAGGCGTCTGCGCCACACGGCTCCCTCCCCGCAGCCCCAGGACGGGGAGCCCGTGGTGACGCAGCTGCATCCAGGCCCCATCACCATGCAGGACGGGCACTTCTCACGGCCGCTGGGCAGCACCGACCTGCTGCGGGCGCCTGCCCACTTCCCCGTGCCCAGCACCCGCGTGGTGCTGCGAGAGGTCTCCCTTGTCTGGCACCTCTATGGGGGTCGGGACTTCGGCCCCCACCCCAGCCACAGGTAAGGAGGAGAGAGTGGTGGCAGCTGAGACAATGGGGTTCACCCCCCCAGGAGGCGGGGCCTGGGCTGGGCTCCAGCCCTGACCTTCGGCAGCTGGTAACCTGGCGCCGTCCTCACCTCCCTGGCCTGCTCTTTCCTGCCCAGAGAGGGTCTCCCAGGCTGGAAGGCCTGCTGAGAGGAGGGGTGAGGAAGGGATGTACCCCTTGTCAGCCTGTCCCTCTCCTTCCTCCCAGGGCAAGAGCTGGCCTCACAGCCCCCAGGGGCTCCCCTTCTCGCTGCTCTGGCCCCAACCGGCCCCAGAACTCCTGGCGCGTGCAGGGGGGCAGCGGGCGGCAGCACCAGGTCTTCATGGAGATCCAGCTCAGCAAGGTGAGCTGGGGGCTGGGGGTGCGAGGCGCTGCTGGGTGGGGGCAGCTCAGCCAGGACTCCTTGGGAGCGACTGTGGAGGGGACTTGAAAGGTGTTCTGAGGATGCAGAGCTGATGATGGTGATGGAGAGGTTGGAGAATGAGACCTGGACCAGGGTTTATGCTTAGGGTGACGAGGCAGGAGGGAACAGAGACAGAGAGATTCGGGGGGGAGGTCAAGAGGTCATTTTGGCCGTGCGGGTTTGAAATACGTCCTGGGCATGGGTCTGAGACGGAGCTGTTACAGGAAGGGTGGCTGGGAGAGGAGGGGCCGGGGTGAACCCCCTGTCCGTGTCCAGCCCTGCTCACCTGGCTCCGCCTCCATCCCCCACAGGTCAGCTTCCAGCACGAGGCGTACCCCGTGGAGCCGGCCCCAGGCCCCGCGGCTCCGGACAGGGAGCCGGAGGAGCAGCCGCTGTCCCGGCAGGTGTTCATCGTGCAGGAGCTGGAGGTCCGGGACCGGCTGCCCTCCTCCAAGATCAACAAGTTCCTGTACCTGTACACCAGCGAGCGCATGCCGCGGCGCACCCACTCCAACATGGTGCGTGGCTCACCTCCGCCTGCCGGGCTGTGGGCGGGGCGGGGGTGCGGCTCGCGCAGCTTAGCTGAGGGGCCGCCGGCTCGCCCTCTGCCCCCAGCTCACCATCAAAGCGCTGCACGTGGTCCCCCCGACCAACCCCAGTGCCCCCGAGTGCTGCCTCCGGGTCTCGCTGATGCCCCTGCGGCTCAACGTGGACCAGGTGAGTGGCGGGGCGGGGCAGGCTGGCGGGAGCCCCCTGCTGCCAGGCGCCCGAGCCCAACCTGTGCCCACACTCCGGCCCCCAGGACGCTCTGCTCTTCCTCAAGGACTACTTCACCAGCCTGGCCGCGGGCATCAGCCCCATGGTCCCGGCAGAGACCTCTGCCGAGGGTGAGCAGCCGGACCGGGAGGGTTGGGTCATGGGCTCCTGCTTCCGTGCCGCCCTGGGCCCACCCCCGGCCTGTCTCCTCTCCAGCGCACCCAGAGGCCCGGGCCCCGGGGAGCAGCCCCCAGGAAGGACAGCCCGAGGGCGTGGAGACCAGTGACACCCCCGAGGCCGCAGTGGGTGGCCAAGGCGCTTCCTCCGAGCAGCAGCCCATCTACTTCCGGTGAGGGCCTGGGCGGGCTGGGCCTGGGCTGGGCCTGGGCTGGGCCTGGGTGGGCTGGGCCTGGGCTGGGCCTGGGCTGGGCCTGGGCGGGCTGGGCCTGGGCCTGGGCGGGCTGGGCCTGGGCGGGCTGGGCCTGGGCGGGCTGGGCCTGGGCTGGGCCCGGGCGGGCTGCACCAGGCCAGGTCAGTGCCTAAAGGACCCTGCTCCTTATCCCCAGGGAGTTCCGATTCACAGCTGAGGTGCCCATCTGGCTGGATTACCACGGCAAGCACATCTCCATGGACCAGGTGGTAAGTGGGCCGTCAGGCAGGGTGGCTGAGGGGTCCCCGTTCTGCTCAGGGTGGCCTGTTCTTGGGGACCAGGAGGCCGGGCTTGCCTCTGGGCACCCTCAGCCGCTGGGCTGGCCTCCTGCGGGCTGGCAGGGCCCTGCACGCCCTGGTGCAAACCCGAGCCCTTCTCCCTCCAGGGCACTTTCACTGGCCTCCTCGTCGGCCTGGCCCAGCTCAACTGCTCGGAGCTGAAGCTAAAGCGACTCTGCTGCCGGCACGGGTGAGCCCGCCTCACACCAGCACCCCAGCCTCTCTCCGGGGCCCCGAGAGGTCCCAACCCCCAAGAGGTCAACCTTCTGGGACCTCAGTTTCTCTGTAAAATGGGTGCAGTAACTCCCTCCCCCGATCAGGGCTGGGTGGGACCATGGGGAGTGGTGAGGTGCCTCAGGTTCTGGCCCTGTGACCCCTCCTTATGGCTCTACCCCCTCCCCCTCCTCCCCCCCCCAGGCTCCTGGGCGTGGACAAGGTGCTGGGCTACGCCCTCAACGAGTGGCTGCAGGACATCCGCAAGAACCAGCTGCCCGGGCTGCTGCGGGGCGTGGGCCCCATGCACTCCGTCGTCCAGCTCTGTAAGCGCTGGCGCTGGGGCTCCTGGGACGGACGGCCTTAGTCTTGGGCACCCCAGACAGGCGGTGCCGTTGGGCGTATGTAGGGGAGGCCCTGGAGTAGGGGGGGGCTTTGTGGCCTCGGGCACCTGATAACCCCGTTCCCCAGTCCAAGGGCTCCGGGACCTGCTGTGGCTGCCCATCGAGCAGTACCGGAAGGACGGGCGCCTCATGCGGGGGCTGCAGCGGGGCGCGGCCTCCTTTGGCTCGTCCACGGCGTCCGCGGCCCTGGAGCTCAGCAACCGGCTGGTGCAGGCCATCCAGGTGAGCGGCGCCCGGCTGTGCGGGGCCTAAGGGTCTGCACCATCTTCCGAGGAGCGGTCCCTGGCTGGGCCCCACAGCCGGGTCTCCCCGGCCAGCTGCGGCCCCCTGCAGGGGGCTGAGCGAACCCCGTCTTTGTAGCCACTGGGTCTCTGCTCCTGGCCAAGTCTCAAGCCTGGAAAGTAAGACCCAGACGGGCCTGGCTCCCTCCGGCCGGCACCTTGCTAGGCCCTGGGGGCTGTCGTTGGGCAGTAGCTCCTGCAGGGGGCCCCGTGGCGTGGGGCTGGGGCAGGCGTGGCGGGCGGTCGCGGCAGGTGAGCGGCAGGTGCGCGGGGTTCAGGGGCCTCCTGGCCCTGCAGTCCAGCCGATGAGAGCAGGGGCAGGTTCTAGAGCGCAGGCTAGAGGGAAAGCAGGCCTCTGGGGGCCACCCCAGGGCGGGAGCTGGAGTGTGGCACCGTCAGCCAAGGCTGGGTGGGAAGGAGCCGCCCTGGGGTGACATGCAGGCCACCCGAAGCCCTGAGCTGGCTGTAAAGCACGGTGTGGGGGAGGGGCCCTGTGCACCTCTTCTCACTGGTGTCCCCTGTGCTCCCCAGGCCACAGCCGAGACGGTGTACGACATCCTGTCCCCGGCGGCCCCCGTGACCGGCTCCCTGCAGGACAAGCGCTCGGTGCGAAAGCGCAAGGGCCAGCGGCCAGCCGACCTCCGGGAGGGCGTGGCCAAGGCCTACGACACCGTCCGGGAGGTAATGAGGCCCCCGCCCCGCAGCAGCCTCTCCCCATCTCCCTCACCCGTCCGCCCGGACCGCACTGACCTCCCGCCCCCGCAGGGCCTCCTGGACACGGCTCAGACCTTCTGTGACGTGGCGGCGCGGGGCCACGAGCAGAAGGGGCTGACGGGCGCCGTGGGCGGCGTGATCCGCCAGCTGCCCCCCACGGTGGTGCGGCCCCTCATCCTGGCCACGGAGGCCACGTCCAACCTGCTTGGCGGGATGCGCAACCAGATCCTCCCTGACGCACACAAGGACCACACCCAGAAGTGGCGGTCGGACGAGGCCCAGGACTGAGCACTCGGACTCCAGGGTGCCGCCCGCCCAGCATGCCCAGCGAGCCAGTGGCACCTCGGCTCCCGCGCCCTCCGGGCGTGGACAGCCTGGCGGCCGGGCCCTCAGGAAGGACCGGAAGGACCCCGTCGCTGAGAGTGGGGCCTCCTGCCTGGGCCTCGGCCCTGTCTCTGCACTTTTCTTGGGGAGAAAGGACCTGCCCCACCTCCTGGACCCACATCAAACCGGAGCCACCCGCTGCCTGGTCCCAGGACCCTCGGAACTACCCACTCAGCCAAGTGTCTTCTGTGTCTCCGGGGACGTGGGGGGAGACGCGTGTGGTTCAATGTATTATTTTTAACCGCCTGAGCGTGTGGGTCGGTGTCTGCATGACGTGGAATAAACTGCCCACCGCCAGCCCTTGTTCCGCCACCTGCACTGCCCCGGCCTCAGCCTCAGCCTTGGCTGGCACCCAGATTCCCACCTCCGCGCCCAGTACCTCCCACGTCCCTGCCGGGTTCACCACCCTCCCCCCCCTCCCCCTGGGCCAGCGTTGCTGCCCGGGGCTCCCCCTCACCCCCTCGCAGGAGCCTGCCTCCCGGCCACCTCCTGTGGCGAGAGCGGAGGAGGGGAGAGGCCGGGCGGCCCTGGGAGAGGCCACCTCGCCCACTACTTCCTGGGCCCGCTGTGCGGGGCCCGCTGAGGACGCTGCCCTGGGACCCAGGCTGCCGGGCCCGTGGCCTCGGCCTCGGCTCCTTCCTGATAACTCTGCCCAGCATACAAGGACCGAGGGCTAGTCAGGCCCTTCCCGGAGGGCTGGCCTCCGGGGGCTGCTCCCACCATCCTCAGCCGCTATAGGGTGCTGGAGGGGAGGGGCACTGGGGCAGCAGCGGAGAAACTCGCACGGGGTCAGGAAATGACCCTTGTCTGCACCGCCTCCCCCACACACCTTGTTTCTTGAGAACAAGGAAAAGTGACTGCTCAGCTCACCCCGCCCTTACCCTGCCCACACCCCAGTAGCACTGCACTGAAGGTAGGTGGGGAAACTGAGGCACAGGCTTAGCACACCCTCCCCTGGTAGGCCATCTGTAGACCCCTCTGGTTAGCAAGTGCCCCCCTGCTCCCCTCTGTGCCTGGTGTCCCCTCCCCGTGCGGGAGACACGGCACCACGTGGACAGGGTGGAGGTGGGGCCTGGTGGCCCGGGGTCCTCGCTGGGCATGGGCACCGGGGGCCAAGGCCGAGCAGGCAGAGGGTGCCAGGAGGGCCATGGCTGTGGACTGGTGCCACCGGGAGGGCCGATGGGCCTGGCCTGATGCTTCCTGGCGCTGCCCCCTGCCCGGGCACAGTCCAGGGTGTGCTGCCCTTTGAACCGCACTGTGGTCGTATTGACGGGCGGCGGGGTAATCATTAACTGCCTCCGGGCTGGGCCAACGGCTCAAAAGGCGCTGGGCCCAGCGGCCCCACTTCCTCCTGAGCCCCAGGGCCAGCCCGCACCCAGGTAAGCCTGCAGCCCTCTGCCAGGGCACTCGGCCCTCTCAGCAGCCTCCGCAGGAAGAGGCCAGGCGATGGCCAGTGATCACACTCCCTGCCATCCTCGGCCTCCGCTTCCGCCTCTGGCTGGGCCCTCAGCTGTGCCCCTGCGCCCTCCGGAGGGCCAGGGCCGGCGGGCTGTGGGGAGGGTGACTGGTCTGCTGTGCTCACCACAGGCCTGCCCTGCCGGCCGAGGGCTCCCCAGCATCCTGAGTGGACGCCCCTTCAGGGAGGCTGCATGCAGAACAGACCGGAGCCCTGCTCTGTGACCTTGGGCTGCCTCTTGGTGGGGGTGGGAGTGGCCGAGTCCACGGAAAGAGCTCAGAGCCCCAGCTCCTCCCCAGAAGCCTTGGGGTCCCTGAAATGTCCCCTCGGCAGGAACCTGTCACTCAAGCCTGGCGGTCAGTGCCGGTCCGGGGGGACGAGAAAACGGCCGAGGAGAGGTCTGCTGTCTGGGGGGCGGGGGCCAGTGCAGGGACCCCGACCGGCAGCTCCTTCCGACAGCAGGGCAGACCCACAGGTTGCAGGGAGGGCGCTGCCCACCAGTCTAGGCCAGCGTGCACAATGCCCACAGCCCCAAAGCATCCGAGCAGCCAGCTGCGGCCACAGGTTCAAGGTCACCCGGCCCCCAGGCCCCCCAGGTGCCCAGTGCTTTTTCCAGCCCTGCTCTCACCATCCTGCCAGCAGGTTTGTGCATCAGCATCTTTTCAAGTTCCCTGCCTCCCCTTTTCCCTCCCCCTCCCCTTCTCTGCCCCTGTTTGCTCTGTCCCTTTTCCATTCTCTGCCTCATCCCTCTCTCTCTCCGTCTCACTCACCCCCTCTCCCTGCCTCCCCTGCACCCGCCCTTCTCTGTGTCTGTCTCCTTCCCACGGGGCCCTCCTGCGGAATCGGGCATTTGGCGGCCCCTGGCCCCTCTGCCCTGTGGCTGCGGCAGGAAGGGTGGGCAAAGGGCACGGCGCCAGATGCACTGGGACCCCGGGCTGGTTCGGAGAGAAACGAGGAAACAGGAACCTGGACAGAGGGTGTGGGTGTCAGAGGGGCAAAGGCTGCCGCCGAGCGTAAGGCAGGGCCCCTCCCGGCTCTGTGGGCAGAGCTGGGCTGAGACTGGACTTCGCCCAGAGGAGTGGGCCCCGCACGATAAGGAGCCCCAATAAAAAGGCCCGGACCGGGGCCTGAGGGCGCAGGCTCAGCCGAGCGGAGCTGCCTCCGGTGGCTGCCACCCCCTGTAACAGCAACTCCATGTGGAAGTGCCCGCTGGTTCCAGTGGGGCTGCTGTTATCAGGGGTGGCGGCCGGTCCCGAGGAGGCTGTGCCCCGCACACCGGCCGCGCCCAGGCCCAGGGCGGCAGGGGGCGGGCTGTGGGCAGGCCACGGAGACCGAGTGCACAGGGCTCTGACCTATGAATTGACAGCCAGTGCTGTCTCCCCTCTGGCTGCCAATTCCATAGGTCACAGGTATGTTCGCCTCAATGCCAGCTGCCAGGACGGGGGTGGGGGGGGGCGGGCAGTGTCCAGGGGGCGATGGAGAGCTGCTGGCCCAGTGCAGCACGCAAGGCCCACGGCCCTCCTGTCTCGTTCCCCTTCCCACGCGCCCCCCCTGAGCCTGCCCTCCTCTGGCCACACCTGTGCTGCCTGCGGCCGCGTGGCATGCCTCTGTGCTTGGCCCACGCTGTTCCCTCTGCCTGGAACACCCTTCCCAGCTTTTTTGCAGCGTCACCCTACTAACCATCCCAAGCTCTGCCTCTGTGCGTGCTGCTGCCGGAGCCCGCTGGAGCCCCGTGCCTGCCGGCAGCCCAGCACCTGGAGCTCCCCCTGAGTGCAGACCCCCCCGAGCCCTGTCCCCCCCACACTGTGAGCTCAGCCCAGCCCAGGAGAGCTCACATGTCTGAACAGATCGGGAGCCTCCGCCTCGCACGCCCGGAGCCAAGGACTCTGGCCCCAGCCTGTGCTGAGCCCCTACGACAGGGCGCCTGCGCCAACCTCCCCCTGCTCGCCCGCTCTCCTCTCTCTTGGCGTTCTCATGCCCTGCGGCACCGCTCTGGCCTGTGGTGTGAGTGTCCGGGCCAGAGCCGAGTGGACAAGAGGTGGCCTCACCTCAGCTCCAGCTTCCCACGGCAGCCTCTCTCCTGCCTGGCTCCTCCCCCCGGGTCTTCTGGGGGAATCTTCATTTGAACACAAAGACTCTGCTGGTGAATAAAAAGTAAAAACAAGCCTGGCCTGTGTGGCTCAGTGATTGAATGTTGACCTATGAACCTGGAGGTCGTGGTTCGATTCCTGGTCAGGGCACAGGCCCGGGATGCAGGCTCAGTCCCCAGTAGGGGGCGTGCAGGAGGCAGCTGATCAATGATTCTCTCTCATCATTGGTGTTTCTATCTCTCTCTCCCTTCTCTGAAATCAATAAAAAAGAAAAATTTTAAGTAAAAATTTAAAAATTGGAAACCCACACCTAGGAATAAAGCTCAAGTTGCTTTTCCAGGAAGTGGTTCTGAGCGCTTCCTGTGACCGGCACCTCCATCACCCGCACTCATTCCGGCCGCTTTGCAGGCGGCTCCTGGGAGCCTGGTTGGGAGGTGAGGACACGGCTCCGAGGGGGCGAGCAGCTGCTCAAGTCACAGAGCTGGAGGGGCCTTCTCCCTCTGAGGACTCCGCGCAGCCCCTGCTCTGGTCTCTATGTCACTGTCGTGTCTTCACCGCCCACCCCCTGCAGCTCTGCTCACACTGCCCTGTGATCCCTGGGCCCCATCCCCTCTGCTGAGATACCCCCCCTGTGTCCTCTGACCTGCTCCTGCCTCTCCCAGTCCCTGTGGGCCTCTCTCCCTTATCTCATTCCTGGAGGATAAAGTCCGTGACTCACTCCCCTGGGAGGGTGGGCAGTCTTGAAGGTGTTGGAGACACAGCCGTGCCCTGCGTGTCCCCATCGCCTCCAGAGAGCTCTCAGAGGCACTGTCCCCACTCGCACAAGGCCAGCCCAGCTCCCTCTGACGGCTCTTTCTTTTCCTGACCTGCAGCCTTTACCCAGCAGGCCCTGGGCCTGTGCATATCTCGCTTAGAGGGGATCCCCCTCCCACTCCCTCTCCCGACCCCTACTCTCTGGCTCCCATGATGCTCTGGGGCCTCTCGTAGGGTCCCCGTCACCAACACCTGGCTGTCGCCCCAGCCTGTGAGCCCGGGAGCAGCGGCCGCTGACGTCTTGTTTCCTGTGGTCTCAGACCGGCCCGGAGTAGGTGCTTAATAAATGCACACTCAACCCCACCGAACAGCGTCAGTTTACACTCACCTTACACCCTCCTCTCACTCACATCTCTACATTTCGCTCGGGGATGTCCATGCGTTTGAATGGGAGGGTCTCCCTCAGGCCTGGCGGTGTGTTGAGCGATTGATGGGACCTTCACCCCATTTCCTTTCTTTCTCATTTGGGAGAGAAGGGCATGGACTGCACCGGGGGCCTTTCCACCTCAGGTTCCGGAACCCGTACCTGTTCTTTCCTGGAAAGTGTGAGTGGGAGCGTAGCCAGATGCCACTCCACGGGAGACCGGCCAGGGGCACCCATGGAGACCGAGAGTGAGTCACAGGAGGCCAATGAGAGCAGGTTTTCGGGGCTGAGACACAAGGAGGCTGGTGAAGAGGAGACAAGGCAGGAGCAGGTGTAAGGGTTAGAGGAGAGGAAGGCTGGACTGTGGCGAGAGGGTTAAGACTGGATAAGGTGAGGGCCCGTGTGGTTTTTTTTGGATGCAGGGACTGATAAAGAGCCCGTAAGCAGGACGAGCTAGAAGAGAGCAGGAGAGCGATATAATTGGTTATTATGAGGCATGATGTTGAGATCTCTCTATAACTTACCCGACCGTTTATCAATTTCCCCAACACCATTTACCCACGAATGCTACCTG